ATCCAGGGGTAGCGGCCGATGATCTTGGTTTCACTCTTGGTGGTTCCTTAGGCGACGATGTACAGTTCTCCATGGCTGAGTTAGCCTTTAGATTCGAGCATGGGAAGCCTCTCATCAGACCCGAGGAGCTCCCGCATCTACCAACACAAATGTGAAGATTGCATTAGTGCACTAGTAGAAAAAGGGCCTAATGTTCAGCTCATTAGTCCCGGTTTGTAACTGAACCGGCACTAATGTGACCATTAGTGCCGGTTCCAACGGCTAGGCGGGCGGTGCTCATTAGTCCCGGTTCGTGGCGAACCCCTAGTCCCGGTTCGTGCCACGAACCGGGACTAAAGAGGTGGTGGCAGGCTAGTGTCCGGCTACGGCCCCACCAACACCTTTAGTCCCGGTTCGTGGCACGAACCGAGACTAGAGATGCACCTTTAGTCCTAGTTTGTTTAACCAACCGGGACTAAAGATCATCCTATATAAACCCTTCGTCGAGCTCGAGCTCTCCGTTCTTCCCTTCCCTCTCCTCTCTGTTTTATTCCTCTCCTCTCGAGCTCATCCTCCATTTTTCACAAAATTTGTCAAGATTTGAAGGCACCCCATCCATCCAAGTGATCACAAAGGTTAGCAACTTTGTCCTTTCATCTCTCATTGCTAGATTAGCTCTTCCAATGCTCTATAAGTATAGTGATTTGTGGATTTTAGTAATTTGGGAGGAATTATAAGTGGTAGTTTATTTGATTTATATGCAATTTGAGCTCAAAGAACTCTTAGTTTCCATTTGTAGGTGTGGTTTACTGAGTACCTTCCTGTCTCCAACCTAACCACCGTCGATCATCCGCACCGTCCCATCAACGGCACCACCTTGTGATGAGCCTCTTGTTCCTATCCTATTATATAAAAAATCATGTTTGTGTGATTTAGATATATAGTTACTTGTATAATTATCTTAACCGTATGTTGTATGTTATACATAGTGCCATGGTTTTGATATTCGTCCCCGTCGGCCCTCGTCCGGTTTATGATTTGGATGTGGTATATTCTCTTTTATAACTATTTGTTGCATTTCGTGTTTATGAAAAATTATGCCCATCAAGTTCACATAGATATTTTATCTAGGAGGCATGTGAATCGGAAATTCCAATTGACCCTATTGTCGAGACGTTAAATTTAGTTGAAAATGAAAACG